TGTCCTGAGGACCTCGCTGCCACCGTCCAAGCTCGCTTGGCCCCGGCAGATGAACCTCAGGATTAAAGGGTGGGCTCAGTTCCGCGCACACTGTGTCTCACCTAAAAAATCCAATGCGCAGGCTGGAAGGTGTAAAGACCTTCCCCGGTTCTTCGTTCGCGAAGACTGGCCATTATTACCTCTCTTCAGCATCCTCGCTTTGTTCTACAGAGGTAGGCTGTACTTCAGTATACAGCTTTTGTATACTTCAGGGTATTTCTTCCTATGTCATAAGACTCACCTTACTTTACGTAAGAATCTACTTACCTTGTTTTAATTTGTGGCAAAGTTCTGAAAACAGTTGTTTTGGTGGTTTAATGAATTGTATTACTGTGTCTGTATTGTCTGTATGTTCATGTGTGTTGGGTTTTGCTCTTTCTACTCTTCCTTCTGAATTTCAAGAGACATGAAAGCATGGGCTATATATGTTTCATACACTTCAAAAAATTATTTCTAAATCTTGGGCATGGGCACACTTTCACTACATTTTATTTCGCTACAATAGCTAAAGTCTGTTTTCTTTTCCAAACAATACAGTACTCCAGATCTCAATATAATTGATAATATGACTAACCTAGAACAAGACCATAAACTTGGTAGTGGCTTTTGAATTAAAAAATTGAATTGAAGAGCTAGAAATCTGGGCTTAGTGTTATACTTCAAGTAATTTCAAAGGAATTTTTAAGCTTTTTGAACACCTTAACATTTTGCCACTCTACAGAAGCTTGTAAAGTAGTTTGAGATCTTTAGGTGTGGAAGAAAAAACAACTGAGTCTAAATGTCATAGTTCTGATTTTAGAAAGGAATTTTTCTTTCCCTTTTCCCTTTTTTTTTCCCCTTCCCCCCCCCTGCATGAATGCTATTCAAGAACCATCAAGTGAACAAAGGAGTCGGCCTGGCTCTTAACGACCGAAAATCAGTCTCCTGGCAACGACGGGGGAGGAGTTGGGAAGAAGGCGGAGTTGGTGGGGAGCTCAGCTCCGGGA